AGTAAAAGCTATACACTGAGACCCTGTCTCAAAACAAAACCACCAAACAACTAGGTACCAAATTATACCAAAAAAAGATCTATATAAGTCATAAAAAAGGCATCCAAATGTCAACGATAATTCTCTCTCGGTAATTTTTCCATAGTTCTCAACTCGTTCAGAATTAACACATTAACACGGTATTTTTTTTCTTTTTCATTTCCATATGTGTGGACGTGTGGACGTGTGCTCACATGTGTGTGTTCGAGGACATGTTCATATGTGCTTGAGTGTGTAGACATGTTGATATTGGACACCTTCCCCCATCATTCATTGTCTTACTCTCTGGGGCAGGTGTCAATCAAACCTAGAGCTGGCTAATGTGGTTATGGTTGCGAGTTTGCTTGCTCCCCGGTAGGGGGTCCACATTCATCTTCAGAGGCTTCTATTACAGGGTTACTGTGCCCACTAAGCAACCACGTGGATACTCAGGATGTGAACTGTTAGCTCTCTTGCTTGTGCAGTGAGTACTTTACCACTGAGCCTTCTCCTAAGGGCTAATATGGTTAATATAATAGTACATACACACATATATTTAAGCATCAGAGACAGTCTGTTTGTTTTGTTTTGATTTAACTAGGGAAATTATTTCTGAGACTACGAAATTATACACTGGGTTTTAGGGAGGATTCTCCTGTCTGAGCATCGACAAAACACGCCTTCGCTACCCTTCTTGAAGCCTGCATGCAGCTGCGTGTCAGAGGACCTGCACCCCGTAGCCACTTCACCTCATGGTTTCCTCTTGTCTCTCCCCTTCCCTTCAATGACAGCTCCCTTCCAAAGTCTGCAGCAAGGAGAAACACCACCCTCAAAGTCTCCTGAACCCCCCCCCCTGCTGGGAGGTCTCACAGAATCCAGCTAGCTATAATGGTACACGCCTTTGATCCAGGCACTCAGGAGGCAGAGGCAGGAGGATCTGAGTCTGACTCTAGCCTGGTCTGCAAAGTGAGTTCCATGACAACCAGGGATATACAGAGAAACCCTGTCTTGAAACCCTCGCTCCCCCCCCCCCAAAAAAAAGAAAGGAAAGAAAGAGTCTAACCCTTCCTTCCACCATCTTCCCCTTCTTGACCCATTACATCTCTCTTCTGACTTGGGAGTGGGGACTCTGCTTCCCAGGAAGCTGGTTGCAAAGACTTACTATGTACCTGATTTTCCATGAATACATAATAAAATACCCACGAATTTTCTTTCAGGATCAAGAATGTCATGTGTAATTTAAAAAAGAGAGAGAGAGAGAGAGAGAGAGAGAGAGGCAGTGGGTATGCCAGGGTGGAGGAGAACCGACTGGGATTTCTGGCTGTCACTTCTCTCACTAAATGAGAACTCCAGGGGACAGAGGGCAGAGTGAGTGAAACATTTACTCGCTGACTTGAAATAAATGAGCTCTCTACCAGTCTGGAGACAATTTATAGGTGTGGAGGGCCCATAGGATGCTGCAGCATAAAACTTGGGGCATCCTTGGCTGGCAGGGATGAGGCAGGTCTCTCCTTCCCTCTAGCATCCTGGAAGATAGGTACTGATCGTAATCTAACCAGCAGGAAGGCTAAGGCGATCTGGGGCCTTCTATTGTGTGTGCACCCATCTCTCGGGATTCCGGTTCCAACTCACAAAGCTGCCTTTTTGCTGGTGGCTACGAGCCTGCAGAGCCCATAGGGTGACCATTGCAAGGTGTTCATCTGTTTTGGTAAAGGCAAGGTCTTGTTATATAGCCCAGGCTGGCCTGGAACTCAGAAATCCTCTGCCTCTCTGCCTCTCTGCCTCTCTCTCTGCCTCTCTGCCTCTCTGCCTCTCTGCCTCTCTGCCTCTGCCTCTGCCTCTGCCTCTCTTCCTCTCTCTGCCTCTCTGCCTCTCTCTGCCTCTTTGCCCCTCTGCCCCTCTACCCCTCTGCCTCTGCAGAGCTGGGATTAAAGGTATGCCCCACCATACTGGGGCCCTGATTTTTATTTTTTTAAATAAAAAAGAGGGCTGGTATATGGCTTAGTGGTAGTGTGCTTACTTAGCTGGGGCAAGGTCTTGAGTGCAATCTCTAGCACAGGGTGTATTTGTCAACAAGAGAGCCTCAGAAAGTCGAAGACCTTGAAGGAATTGTCAGTCTCCTCCCTGGGCATGGGGAAACGTGGGTGACTGCAGAGCTGACACTCACCCTGTCTACATAAGGACCCCAAATATATTTGCATCAAATCTGACTGTAGGAACCTTCTTGGCATTAATATTCTGATGAGCAAGGCTTTTCTTTTACCTACTAAAGTCAGCCTGTGACAGGCTGGTATCCACTCCATCCTTTGCTGTCCCTGGCCACCCACACAGGCTCCAGGCTGAAGGCAGGAAGCCCCACGCCTTGCGGACCCACTCCAGACCCCGCCTTCTCCCTTTGATCCTCCCACTGCGAGCTGAGCTGCAAAGCTGCTCACATGTAATTATTTTAATTCAGCCAGATGCTAAGAATTAGTCTCTTTTCCTTGCAAGGATTCTAGGGAAAGAGAGAATTCAGCCAAAGATGTGCCAGAAGAAAAAGAAGCTGACAGCTTCCGGGGTGGGGGGAGCCACCAAACCCCCCCAGTGTGGGCAAGAGCCTCAAGCAAGGAAACTGCAGTGTCCAAGAATGACAGAAAAAGGTAGGGAGGCGGGAGGGTCTAAGGCGGTAAAGGAAGATGTTTACAAGCTGCTGGGAAATCACCAGCGCCAGCCCCCCTAAGTAAGCTTAGACACTCCACAGTGCCCTCGCTGGTGTTACTTAAAGATAAACCAAGGAGGAGGGCTTGAGCTCGGGGAAAACTGAATTTGTGCCAGTAAGCAATTCCTGCACGGCCCCTCCTGAGCGACACCCCCATCCCCTTCATCCGCAGCATCAGCATCAGCAGTTAAGCCAACTGTTCCGTAGCCAGGGAACCCTGAGGCTCCGGGCTTAGAAACTAGAAGAGAAGAGCTAGGTTGGAGCCACTAGGACCGGAGTTATCAATAGTCGTGAGCCATATTGTGGGTGCTGAGAATCAAATCCGGGTCTTCTGCAAGAGCAGCCAGCGTTCTTAACACTGTGTCATCTCTCCAGCTTCCCATGTTGATCCTCTGTTTTGTTAAGATGGGATCCCTCTATGTATTCTTGGTATCCTAGAACTTGCTATCTAAGCCTTGAACTCAAGAGATTCCCCTGCCGCTGCCTCCCAAGTACTGGGATTAAAGGCGTGCACCACACCTGGCTACTATGTTGATTCTAAATGTATTCCATTGCTATTATTCTAAAAGGGGTTAATGTATGACTTAACTTGCTCTGTCATGGTTTCTAATATTGCAGGTACATAGTTTCTAACATGATGGATACATAGTTTCTAACATGGTGGATACATCGTTTCTAACATGGTGGTTACAGAGTTTCTAGCATGACAGACACTCCTGGAAGGCTGCTCTGATCTGAGAAGGTCTTATTTCTCCTTCTCCATCTTACAGTCCCAGGGGAGTCTTGCCCCTGCATCCAGGCTTGGCCTTGAGTTGTCAGTTTGCCTTACCCTCCATAAGAGGTTCCTCACTGACCTCAGAGATTCCTGGCTTGGGTGACCTGGGAGCCCCATCCCTGATCTTAGAGTTAGCCAGAGCTGGAATAGAGTCTGGCTCTGCTTCCTGTAGTTCCAGAGAGAGGCTGTAGTTTCTGGTAAAATGAGACTCTTGCTTAAGGCCTTCTCCCGTGCATAGCTGAGCTTTATCTTACGTCTCAGGACCAATGTGAGTGACTGTCATTATCAGCACCCACTGTCAACTCTACAGAAACCTAAAGTCACCAGGGGAGAGGGACCCTCAACTGAAGGATTTCCTCCATCAGGTTGGTCTGTGGCCATTTTGTGAGACATTTTCTTCTTTCTTTTCTTAATATTTATTTTTATTATACATAATTATGTGTATGGGTGTGTGCACATGACTGTAAGTACTGTGATAGGCCAGACATATCTGATCCCCTTGGAGCTGGAGTTACAGGTAGTTGTGAACGACTGGACCTGGGTGCTGGGAACTGAACTTAGATCCAATGCAAGAAAAAAAAAAAAAAAAGGATACTCATTTTTAACCACTGAGTCATCTCTCCAGCTCTGAGGGAGCTGATGGTTTTCTTGATAGTTAATTGATGTAGGAGGCACAGCCCACTGTGGGTGGTGCCATTCCTAGGCAGGTGAGTCTGGGATCTACAAGAGAGCTCCTTGATCATGATCCTGAGAGCAAGCCAGGAAACAGCTCCAGCAAACTCCATGGTTTTGGCTTCAAGCTCTTGTCTTGTGTTCCTGCTCTGACTTTCCTCAATGCTGGACTGTTACCCGGGATTATAAAGTAAAACGAACCCTTTCCTCCACAAGTCATTTCCGACATGGTGTTTATCACAGCAAACTAGAACACTGCTCATCAGTTGACAAATGGCATCACCTGTCAGCACAGCATCATTACAACATGTCCCCCTTATCATCAACCGTCCCGAGCCCTTTCTTGGTGTGGGGAGTCACCCTATTGCCTGCTTCTCCACAGTTCTACACAAAAGTCAAAACCAAAGGCTGCTGGGGATTGCAGACTCTTGGCTTCTCAACAGCCGTGCCCACCCACGTACATTTTCGTACCTTCCCACACGCACATCCACCCATGTGCACACACTTACACTTATGGCTACACGCAGACACATTTCTTCCCTCCGTTCCACCGGGGGGGGGGGGGGGTGTCACCCTATCCCCAAAACAAAACTGAAAAGTGACAACCAAATCGCGAGTGCCCAGGGGCAGACTTGTGATGGAGCCTGGAAAGAGCCTAGCTCTGTGGTGCTGGTCCTTCCTGCCTTGGGTCTTACTCTGCTCACCCATAAGGATGGAATCTTCCAGCTCCAGTATTATGGTCTTATGCAAGCCAGGTCATGAGGAGCCTTGTCTACCTCGGGCTCCCTCTAGGAACCGGTAATCCTGGCCCACGGAGAAGTAGGCTCTGTTACTCACCCTACAGTTGCTCAGCTCCTCTGCAGACAGGATGATGGTACCACATTTCTTCCCCGGGACACCACTGAGGGAGAAGAGAAAAATGATAAGCCAGACAAAGACAGACCAACCTGACACTCCTGGGTCAGCCACTCCCATGCCCACCCTCTGCCATGCAGGCATGTGCCCCAACACTCCTGAGAAAGAAAGTCATCAGAAGTGGCTGGGCAATGTGACCAAGCGCTGTGTTGCTGAGGCCACGCCCTCAGTCTCGGTGGCCCCGCCCCCTGCTCCCAAGGCCCACCGGGAGGTCTTAGAATGGCAACAGCACCCAGACTCACCCGGAAGCTTCCGGACCAGTGGTTCTGGAGCTTTCCATCCAAAGACCACTTCTGTGGGCAAAAGACCTTGTGGGCTAACCACCCTGTACCCGGCTGACCCAGGGGTCCCCTGATGTTGCAGCTCTGAGCCAGTCTTCACTATGGAAGAGCAGCTGAGGATGCGGTAGGGTCTCCGAGAGGGGGGGGACTCTCCGTGGCTGTCACCTATGGCTACCTCCCTTCCAATTCCTTGGCTGGGGCCTTCTAGGGACAAGAGATAATTCATTTCTCCTTAGTGAGAGTCCAGGCAGGACAAAGAGGGACCATCTACAGCAGAGAAGCCCCATCCAGAAAGGCAAGCTGGAAAGGGCTCTACTCCGCCTTCTCCACCCCTATTCCCCTTGTTGGTGGGGGTGGGGGGAGCTGCTCCAAGGACTAGCCCATGTCACTCTAAGGTTTGAGACTCAGTCAGGAGGATCTTAGGGTCACTGAGAGGGACAGTCATATGTGAGGCTATGGGACAGCTGTAACTAGGGTTCAAAGGTTATTCTTCTGACCCTGTCCATATGCGAGGGTGACCTAGAACCTATTTTTCTAATACTTGCACACACAGTGCCTTGTGCAGAGAAGGCCGGGGGGGGGGGGGGGGAGCAGTTTCCCTCCCTGAATCCTTGCTTCACTGTTGAAAGGCACTGTCAAATCCAGACCCCATCTCCTGACCAGCCCCAGGGCAGCAGTGTGCTGTGTGAAACCACTGAACTTTCCCCAGCATCGGCCTTTGGAGGGAGAGGTTCCTAGCTGAGGAAGAACAAACCAAATCTCTTAGGGCTGAAGAAACAAACCAAATCTCTCCAAATCGGGTGAGCAGAGTAGGGACCACCCACACCTGCTCCCCAACCCCCCCGGCATGTGGCTGTGCCGAGACTTGTCCCCTACTCTTGGGCAGTTCTTCCCCACACACTGGCCTGGTGAGGACCAGGCAGCTGCTCGGTAGCAGCCTCCTCCGCCCCTGGCTCTCCATCTGCTGTTCTGCCTTGGACCCCACCTTCTATTTCTGATCTTGCTTTTCCCTCCTCTCTTGCCTCAGCCTGCTCCCACAGGCCTGGCCTTCCTTCCTCTCTCCCTCTGGACTTTATTCCTCTCCTACGTCTGCTTTGCTCTCCCTCGGCTCATTGGTATCCACTCTCCCCCTAAACCAGCATCCACACTGGCCCTCAAGGTGTAAGGGGTTCCACATCTGTCTCCTCTAGGCTCTTCCCTCATATGCAGTAGGGTGGGACTCCCTTCCTCAGCCCCAAAGGCCCTTGGGGCTACACAGTATGAGAAGAAGTTAGGATGGAGAATCTCCTCAGGAAAGGAGAGGGAAGACCACCGGAGGGTCTGTATGGGCCGTGTTTTGATGAGGCTAGCCCAAAGCACGAAGTCAGAGTGGGGACTGAGGAAGTAGACAGCCCTCTGCAGCCGGCAAGATATGGAGGCAGTGGGAGAGTTGAGCCAAACCGACTCCACAGGAAGAAGGCTCGTGTTTAAGAGGGAAACTGTGGAGGAGGGATATTAGATGACGGAAGTGGGGGTGGGGAGGGAATAGGGCAGAGATCGGAAGGACGAAGGGGACTGAGAGGTCCCAGGCCTGCCAAGACTGGGCACAGTTTGCTCTTCTGAGCCCAGCCCTACTCCCTAAAGTCCCAAGAGTCACCTGGCCTCAGCAGGCTCTAGCTATGGCCTGTGTAGAAGAGGAGACGGGCTGTCATCTTGGTGCCTGAGACTTTGTAAAGGGACCCAGGACCCTCTGTCTTCCTACCCAGGGACTAATAGTAGACCAGGAGCTGGGCCCAGAGGCGGTAGCCTCTGTAGAGCAAGCAGAATACAGAAGGACAGGAGGGCCACAACTGCATGGTGACCTACCCATTAGACACGGCTGGCATAGGCTTGCCTGTCCGGGAGTTGAGGCTGAAAGTTCCTATCCTGTGGAGACAGAGGAAGAGAAAGCCGAGCATGAGCCCAGGACTCCAGTCTTCACAGGCCAGAGCACTGGGCAGATGGATGCCTGGAGCCAGGTTTCTGCCCTGGAAATCATTTAAAATGGACCAAAAGTCTTCTAAGGCTTTAGAGTAAAACCCAGGCAAGTTATGCTACCCCTGAGGTATTCAGAGTAGGACCCCAGACCAGCAGCCCCAGTATTCTCCCCCACCCCCGGGGAAGATGTTACAAACATACCTCAGGCCTACCCAGATCTACTACTGGGCCAGAAACTCTGAGGCTAAAGACCAGCTTCAGCTCTAGGTTGACCCTGACAGCTATTGCAGGTGAAGACTGGATATATTGCATCACTGGGCCTCAGTGGTTTAACTGTGCCTCCCCAGTCACATGCTGAAGGCCCAAATGCACCCATGTGACTGTATTTGGAGACAGAACCTTTAAAGGGGCTGAAGAGATGGTTCAACAGTTAAGAGCGAGAAATGCTCTTCCAGAGGAACCAAGTTCGGTTCCCAGTACCCACATCAGGAGGCTCACGGCCAGCTCTGGGAATTTGACGCCCTCTTCTGGCCTCTGAGGGCACCTGCACTCATGTGCACATACCCACACACAAACATAGACACATACACTTAAATAATTTAAAGAAGAAAAAAAAAACAGTTAAAGAAATGAGGTCACGTGGGTGGGGTCTGACTGTCCGGACACACAGAAAAGACAGGAGGATGAAAACCACAACCATCCCAAACACAGGTGAGTGACCGGCCTCAGCAGAAAGGAGCTCAGTTGGCACTTTGAATTTGGATTTCTGGCTTCCGGAAGTGTAAAGTTTTGAATTTCTCCTGCTAAGTCCCTCAGTATGGTACTCACATTGACACTCTAATAAATTATACAGCCGGCTGGGTGCGCCTGCACATGCCCACAATTCTAGCATTTGGGAGGCTGAGGCAGAGGGATCTGTTTGAGGCCTTCCTAGGCTACAGAAAAAGACCCTGGGCGCTGACTCAAAAGCTCAAAGGAAACTGAATATGATGGTGTGCATTAGCAATCCCAGTACTCACACGGGATCTTGGGTTTGAGGCTGCCCTATAGTGAGACACCCTGTCTCAAAAAAAAAAAAAAAAAGAAAAGGAAAACAACACCCCCCTCCACCCTCAAACACAAGGAAACTAAACCAATGCCATCATCCCTTAATAGGCACAAGGAACTGGTTCATGGACTCCCTCTGGGACAATAGAGCCTCTGGGTGTGCAAATCAATTTGTTTGTTTTTGTTTTGTTTTGTTTTTAGAGACAGGGTTTCTCTGCATAGCCTTGGCCATCCTGGAATTTGCTCTGTAGACCAGGCTGGTCTCGAACTCATAGATCCAACTACCTCTGCCTCCCAAGTGCTGGGATTAAAGACAAGTGCCTATACCGCCTGGCTGCCACCATAGCATTTAAATGTTTCATTTTACTGTTTATTTAGAAATAAATAGTAAACAGGGTCACTTGGAGCCGAGGCTGGCCTTGAACTTACGTAGTTGAGGGTGGCCTTGAACTTCTCCTGTCTCCATGCTCAAGGGATGGGTTACACGTATGCACCACCATGCCTGGCATGTTCTATACTCTACATCACCCTTAGGTGCTAGCACTGGAAATGCACAGCACAGGCTTGCTGCACTGTGTCGCCTAGGGAACAATGACTAGGCAAATGTCAGCGCATGTCCAGTATTTAGTTCATGGAGTGCATGCTTGTGGGTCCCATGAAGACTGAGGGCTCTCTGCATTGATGTCACTAGAAAAGCACTGACCCCCACATCTGTCCCAGAATAGATGCCCAGTAAACAAGAGTTGCCAGTGGGGTTTAGTCATGAATGGCTAAACTTAGACACACAAGACTTTCCGAGGGAAAGGACCTGCCTCCTCAGAGGTATTCCAGAGCCACTATATTCAGATCTTGTCCTTGGGTTCATCTTCTGGGGGGAAAGGATCCCTCCATTCCCTACCCATCCAACAAGCAGGAAACAGACCTGTGATTGGTTAGGTGGGAGCTGGGAGGCGTAACCGCACTCCTGGGCTTCTCCTCAGCCCGATGCCGAGGGAGGGCAGTGGGCAGTGAATATGATCCAAATGTGTTACGTGCGTGTCAAAGAATGAGTAAAAAAAAGCATTTAAAAATGTATACATTTGAATGAAAGAACATTGTTTCTTAGCAAGAGCTAATTGTGAGTTCTCCTGGGAAAATCCTACTTTTCTTTTTCAAATTTTCTTTTACTATTTTTAACTCTGGGTGCGTGTGCGTGCCTTTGTGTGTGTGTGTCTGTGTACATGCCTCTGTGCGTGTGTCTGTGTGCGCACGAGTGAACGCACGCGTGAGGCCAGAGGTACCCAGACCCTTGGAGCTAGAGCTGTAGATGATTGTGAGACACCCGATTGTACTGTGTGTTCTCAACCCAAGAGCCATCTCTCCAGTCTTGTGAACTGGATACAATTTTTGAGCTTCCTTAAATCTATAATTCAGTTGAGTCTACAGAGTGAGTTCCAGGCCAGCTAGGGCTACACAGAAAGACCCTGTCTGGAAAACAAAACAAAACAAAACAAAAAAACAAACCAAAAAAATACCCGCCCCCACAAAAATCTAAAATAAGAAAAACCACCAACCAACCAAAAACAAAACCAAAAAAAAAAAAAACCCTAGAATTCTAAATTAAATCTTTGTTGTTTTAAATGAGTTTTTAAAAAGCGACTATATGCTGTTCTTGGCCTCCAAGGACACATGAGATCTAAATTTTGTTTTTGAAGATGTCTCTTCTTTTTATTTATGTGTATGTGTACAGGAGGTGCGTAGCATCTAGAAGGGATCCCCTGGGACTGGAGTTACAGGCGACCCCCAGCTGCCTGCTATGGGTCTGGGACCTGAACTCAGAGTCCTCTGCAAAAGCTTCAACTGCTCCTGACTGCTGAGCAGGCTCAGTCCCCACATACTGTTGTTGTTCTTAAGGAGTCAGTTAAAGACACGTTGGGGAGTGTGAGGCAAATGCAAATTTGTATCATGTATGTGTGTGGACACGTGTGTGTGAATATGCATGTTCACGTGAGTGTGCATGCGTGTGTGCATGCCGTGCGTGTATGCGTGTACATGTGTGAGTGTGTGTGCCTGTGTGTATACGTGTGCATGTGTGGGCACTGTGTGTGCGCATGTGCATGCATGAGTTACCTGTGTGCATGTGCCTGTGCATGTGTATGTATGTGCACATGTGTGTGTGCATTGTGTATGCCCTGTGTGTGTGCATGTGTGTGCATTCATACGTGTGTGTGTGTGCACGCTTGTGGAGGCCACAGGTCATGTTGGGCCCTTCCTCCATGAATTTTCACCTCGTAAAGAGACAATAGCTTTCATTTGAGCTCCGAGATTTGCAATTCAGCTGTCTGGCCAGCTCTGAGGACCTCCTGTCACTGCCTCCCGACCCCGGAGTCCTAGGCTGCCAAGCCTGTCTAGTTTGTATGTGAGTGCTGGTGGTCTCTCTTCATGCCAGAGTGACAACTGCTTTTCCCATGCGGCTCTCTGTATATTTCTGTGTGTGTCTCTTCTCTATGTGTGTGTGAGAGTCTGTGTGAGTATGTCTGTGTGTATATCCCCAGCTTTTTGTTTGTTTGTTTTTGTTTTTGTTTTTTTGAGCCAGGATTTCTCTGTGTAGCCCTGGCTGTTCTGGAACTCACTCTGTAGACCAGGCTGGCCTCGAATTCAGAAATCCTCCTGCCTCTGCCTCCCAAGTGCTGGGATTAAAGGCATGCGCCACCACTGCCCAGCTATCCCCAACTTCTTGTACCATAATTTTTTTTTAAGAATCCTCCAAGTTCTTTAAGCTCTAGAACCTCCAAACCGATTCCCTCCCCCTCAACTCAATAAATGATAGTTATTATTTTCTGGGGACCTAGAGAGGAGGCTTTTGAGGGGAAAAAGAGGAGACCTTTCTTGAGGTTCTGATGCTACTATATAGTTACCGAGAAGTTATAGGCAAGGGTCTAGGAGAAAGAGTCTACTGTCTAATACACACACACACACACACACACAGACAGACACACAGACAAACAGACAGACAGATAGATACACACAGAGACAGACACACAGAGACAAATACACAGACACACACAGAGACACAGAGAGAGAGACAGAGATTTATACACAGAGACACACATATAGACATATACAAACACAGACATACGCACAGGGACATATACACAGAGATACACACACACACACACACACACACACTACAATTACGAACCACAGTGGATAAAAGAAACTTGGCAGAACCAGGCAGTGGTGGTGCACGCCTTTAATCCCAGCACTTGGGAGGCAGAGGCAGGCAGATCTCTGAGGTCGAGAGTTCGAGGCTAGCCTGGTCTACAGAGTGAGTTCCAGGACAGCCAGGGCTATTCAGAGAAACCCTGTCTCGAAACAAAACAAAACAAAACAAACTTGGCAGAAGTGAGTGAGGGGTTCATGCTTAGCCTAGCCAGAACACCCTCTCTTCTTCATGCTCTGCCCTGTGGCCTGGACACCTGTCCCAGTCTGTGCTTGCTGGTGCCTGGACCCTGTCCCTAGGGCTTCCTCAGAATAATGATAAGTCATCCTCAGCAGCATGTAGGAATTCTGGAGACTCCAGAGGCCTTTCAAAGTAATAATAGCTGCCCCACAAGCCCTGTGTCATCCCATCCTACAGACTGTCAGAGACAGGAGGGGAAAGGGTCTCACTACATCCAGCTCCAGCCTGTTTTTAGCTCCCAGCTCAGGTCTATACCTACAGGCAGCGAATGAGATGAGAAACAGTGCAAATAAAGCCCAGGTTCAAATCCCAGCTTTCCCACTTGCTAGCTGTGTGACCTTAGGTGGATCAGTTCCCCTGGTGTTCTCTGGTCTCTTCCTTACACAATGAGAGAGGTGGGGTTGCAAACTTACTAGACAGCTCTCAGTTACTGCCCTCCCCGTGGGATCCCACAAGATACAAGCTCTAATAACTTGGCCTGGTTGGCTCCCTCCAAAATAACCAAAATAAGTGGGTGAGACGCACGGAGAGAGCAGGGCCCAAGACCCCTCTCACTCTTTAAGCCCTGGCTGTCTAATGCTTTGCCACCAGCAGGCTCTTAAGCGAGTGAGCTCAAGATGGCTCACTACAAGGGGATCCACCCAGACAGGCTGTACCCCTCCTACACTTACGTGAGAGGCTTCTCCAGACGGCTCCCAGAGGATCCTACAATCTCTCCGAGGGTACAGAAGGCCTGGCCCAGGAAGTCCTGCGCATCCAAGGGCAGAAGAGATGAGTGTTAGTCCCCTAGTTCACAGCCACCCCACCGCCCTCACTGAAGTGACCACATGCAGCCGTGGAGACACACTTGAGCAAAACCCAGGGCCTAGTCAGAATGACATTTAAGAGATAGCCTGGGCTCACTGGGCAATCACGGGCGGAACTCACGTGTTTAGATAAATCCGGGCTCTTGGAGTCAACGTCGTATCTATAGGGAACACAGAAAGACAGTAAAGGCAGGCAGGGGGCATTCCACTTAACCCTGTCTTGCACTCTGAGTCCACCCCTCAAGTAGGCTCTGTCAGTGTGAGCACTGGAAGTCTTGGAGGCTCATCCTGCCCTGACCTTGGTAAAGACAGGGATAAAGATAAAATTAGGGTCTCTTAGGATTTGCTTATTTCTCAGCCTGTGAGATGACACTTTTGGCCAAGCCTGGTGATCTGAGTTCAGTCCTTGAGACCCACACGAAGGAAGGCGAAAACCAATTCTCACAAACTGTCCTCTGGCCTCCTCCACACTCTGCCATACTCACGAACACACACACATAAATATAATTTTTTTTTAAATTTGTGCTCTTTCCTGCAAGTGTGTTTTATCTCACTAAGAATGAGAAATGACACAGTGAACCCTGTACCCTGACTGAGTCACATGTGACTAGGTCACAGGTGGCTGGGTCACCACAGGTGGCTGGATCACAGGTGGCTGGGTCACCACAGGTGGCTGGGTCACCACAGGTGGCTGGATCACCACAGGTGGCTGGGTCACCACAGGTGGCTGGGTCACCACAGGTGGCTGGGTCACCACAGGTGGCTGGATCACAGGTGGCTGGGTCACCACAGCTGGCTAGATTACCACAGGTAGCTGGGTCACAGGTGACTAGGTCACAGGTAGCTGGGTCACAGGTGACTAGGTCACAGGTGGCTGGGTCACCACAGGTGGCTGGATTACCACAGGTGGCTGGGTCACCCTATCCATCACTCCCAGTTGTCTGTCCCTCCAGCTTCACTGGTGTCTATCTGGAAGCTCCGTCCTCACATCTTCTCCTCACCTGGGGCCTGCCTCTACACTGAGCTCCTAAGAAAGGCAGGCAGAGCTACCTCCACCTGAGTGAGTGGGCGGCAGCAGCGTGGTCCTGCAGCTGGGCTGGCCCCTGGATGGAGCCCGCTGAGCCGCAGCCTGCTCTCCCAGGGACTTGCTTGCAACCTTTTTTCCAGCAGCTTCCCCTGCTCCACGCTGCACCTGTTGAGGGCTGGGGATCGCTGTCCACTTGTCCTGACAGTTTCCCTCTCCAGACAACAGGTTTGCTCAATGAGGCCTTTCTATCCTTCTCATGTTAGCTCCTAAGTTTCTACACACACACATGCAGGCACACACTCACACATGCACTCACAGACACATAC